TTCTCCATTGTATTTTTTTCTGCATCATAAGATTGTTTTTTCTTGTTGTGAAATAATTTGTTTACAATGGTGTTATAGCAAGTGTTTTTATATTAGATTGTTCAGGACCTTCTGTATTAGTGTGGAAGTCACCAGAAATCCTTGATGACAGTCTGTATGTCATTGAACTCAGCTGTAAATATTTGCAATTTGGTTAATATTCTATTTATGTTGGTGGAGATTGGAAATGCGTGGTTTTAAAGTTACTGAGAGCACATGATGTTTCCTTATAGTACTCCTTTAAGTACTTTTTTTTATAAGTATTTCTTCTTATAAATGAGGTTCAGCGATATACATACCTCGAAGAGACGGAGTGTTTTTGTCCACTGCTTGTTGGAAGCTGAAAATGTCATTCATGTCACACTGCAATAGCTGCCATACACATGGGAAATATTTGTTGTTCTCACAATCCACACGGTCTGTGTAAAAATAGTTCTGTTGCTCCCCACTACCCGAGCCACATCACAACACACACACAGTGCTTTTGAACAACAGTGAACTCCGTTTCATCCGCGTGAAACTGAGAATCCACAGTCCACTCTCTCTAAATCGTCCCTGAGATCATTAGCTCTCTCAGGTTTTTTTTTTTCTCCAACACTCTTTGCAGACTTACCAAGTAGTTCCATCAGCGTGCGCAACAGTTCTCGGAAGATCAGAGGAATGATAACAAGCAGCTATTTCTGAATTGGGACATGGTACAAGCCTAGCATTATAAGGCTTCACGCTGAGCAAGAAGAGCAGCAAGAACCCCAAAAATCCTTTGTTCTTGTTCTCATTTAGTTGGGATGAATGGGATGCTGGTGGAGAAACGGCTACAGTGGATGAGATGTTTGTGAAGACACGAGACCTATTACGGTACATTTGCAAGTCTCACAAACACGACATGTATTATGACATGCCTGAGTCAGACTGAGTTACTAATTAAAAGAGGCAGGGATAAATCATTTTCTTGTTCTCGCTGCCATGTGAAATGAAAGTTAACCATCTCTATCCACCCCCTCTCTTCTCCCTGTCCTTTAACAGGTATAAAGTCCTGGAATAAATCAACGTCATCTTCGTCTTCAGCTCGGCCTTCATATATAAATCACTGGACTCGTTATCCTCACAGTTAAACACAATCAGTGCATTTATAATTTAAACGTAGCAACAAATGTATCACAAAATGTAGCAAACAGATTAAGTAATAACTCTTCTTTTTGCTGTAGGCATCCTCTAAGAAAATATTTATACACTCTAATATTTTACCTTCTCTTTCTGTTGTTAGTTTAAACATTTTCCTTTAGAAAAATTGCACCTGTTTGATCCTTTTTTAAGTCACTACTATTTAAGTTTAGTCACATTTCCTGCATTTGGAAATCCTGCCAAAAATACTGTTACACATCAATCTGATTGATTTTTCATCAAACGGAAGCTCGACGAGTTGTCAGCTCAAAGTGAGTAAAAACAATAATGAAACTGCAGACGCTCGTGTGCTTGTTTGATGGCAGAAGGGGAACAAAAACAGATATTTTATGAGTCACGGACTACATGTTTAAATTTAACTCCCCCCTGGACATTTAAGATTTAAAATGTGCGTTGTCTCCGTCTGTTGATTATTAATGTGCTCATAATTATCTAATAAGCTCGGTTGATGAACATGATTGCACATATTTAACATCACTCTGCTACTGTAACTTCACCTTCGCTTTAAATTACCGCAGCTGCCTTTAGTCTCAGCTTTTTGTCAGATGATTTTATATGAATCTGAGGAGTGGAGATTTTTGTCAAAGCTTGCTTCAATTCCCCACATCTCTAGACTTGAATCAGAATTTATACTTGTAGATATTTCTTCAGTACTGTAACAGCTATTTTGATATAAAGTCCCCGAGCCACTTGAAAGTCAAAATCAACCATCTAAATAAATCGAGCCCGTTGACGTCAAACTCAAGTGTCATATGATCTTTGGTTTCATCTTCAGGTATCCAAGAGGGGGGACATGTAGAGTGTGAAATCATTTCGTGTTTGATGGTGTGATCTCATACCGCTACCTCCATCTGAAAAAAAGAATTATGAAACATGCTTGATTTTTTTTTTCTCTGTTGCTCTGATGTGGTTATTGCACAATGCTTTTGGTTCTTTGATGTTCTTGCAAAGTTCTGCCATCTCTTTTATGTAAGCCTTTGAAGTAGAGCTAGTTGTACTGCATAGTGATATGCCGCACTGTTGCTCCGGCAGTGTGGTCACAGTGTGATACTGCAGCAGCACTGGCGTTCATTTTAATATTACTAGTTTAACTATTCCATTTGATGTCTCTTTAAATTAACCTGGAGTCTTTTCCCTCACAACATCTGGCTTACTAATCACTAGAATTTCACCAAATTATTTGAAGTTGGATCTCAAAGAAACACTATTTCTGACCCTTATGAAGGAACAGTAATAATTGCTGTTATAACAAGTGTGCTGCGATAAAGCAGGTCAGCCGCATGACTTTCTGAACTATGTGCTTTGTACCACTAGGGAGCATCAGAGGGCTTTTAAGAGAATGAAAGATTTGAATACTTCATATTTGACATAGTCAAGTTTTTGCATTAGAATTCCGTTATGTTTTGTTTTTGAAATGCTTTGTATGGATATATCAAAACAAATGGGGATTCGTATAAGTTCACTATAATTTCAACGTGAAGAACAACAGACGACGGCTCACAGGGGAACTTTAATAAAACATTTCATTAAAAGTTGGCAGTGAATGGGGGTGATATACCCAAAAGGGATTCTGATGAAAACTTTGAAGGCATGTATTTCAGATTTTGCGCTGAGAAACATTAAAAGAGATGCACCTTTGTTGGTCTGTGTGTCATAAAATATTTTAAATGGAGAAACAAAACCCCCCAACAACATATAAAGAAACTGGGGGAAGCAGAGAAGCTGAGAGGAGGACAAAAACAACAGTGTAAAACAACTTTTGAGCAAAGAATATTCGGCTCCCATTTGGTTTGAAATGCTGTTTGAAGTTTACCACGAAAAAGAAATCACTTTCATACGAAGGGGTTATTTTCAGACTTATACATTCCAACATCCAGACTCGTCTGTGCTTTGATGAAAAACACCGGAAAAGGTGATCACAGCCTAAATGTAATTTTGAGAAAATAAGCTTTTTACGTTCACACGCAAATTTATCCTTTGTGATAATGACGCTGACTGACTAGACTTTTAGTCAACTGTCTATACTTCAGCTTAATTAAACTTAAAATTTCTTCATCAATTTACATACTTCAGAATGCCTTCGAGCAGCTGACTTCAAAGTAAGGCTTCGTTTGTCTTCTAGGGCTTTGTAGCTCAGAAGATTTATTTTAAATCATTAATCTAATTTGAGAATTTGATGGGGTTTTGGCACTGCCTTTATTTTATTTTGGAATACTAGTGCTTTATATATGTTGCTATTTGGGAATGCTGCTGAAGATCAATCAAAATCAGCATCCGATTAGCAGTAGTCTGATTATGTGTTGCAGTAGCTGGATGGTAGTTCATTTTCACCTATATCTGCACAGTGATTCTTGTAGTTTCAAATGTTTTTTGACATTTTTAACAATTAGAACTAAAACACTGTCGGACCAAAAAATCAATAACAAACTCGCCTTGATAAAGCTCGGCCCTAACACTGCTAATGAACACCCTTAATGTCAAAAAAAGTCTCGCTTCAGAAATCTAAAAAACAACACACCCGAAAGAACCCCAATATCATTTTAATTAGTGCATTTAACATTCAAAAAAAATGATACCTACCGAGAACATGGATGTGATCTATATTTGTATCCACTGTAACGTCGTTTATGTGAGATGGGTTCATGAAATATTTGTGTTGATGAATTATTCATTGGACAGGAAAGCCAAGTCAAAAGGCATTATGCCCAATAAACATTAAATTTAGTGGAAGTAATAGTTGACTGCAAGTTATAGATACATCACCACTTCTAAATACTTGTCACCACATGCACAGGTTTCTGTTACTTACTTAAACAGAGCATTGTGAAGAAGCCCCAAATTAGCTGTATTTGAAAGAATGACAAAAATAAATAAATATCTATATATCTATATATCTATATATATAGATATATATAATTTTTTTTTTTTGAATCAATGTCTCACATAAAACTAAAAGAACGAAAATAAAAATCAGCTGGACTTTATTTATGTATAAACACAACATAAATTACTGTTAAGATGACTAGTACAGACATTTATTCAGTTTCTTAAAAAAATGCCATAAAACTCTTGCATAATTTACAAAATGTGGTGTCCCTGTGCTATCCAAGACAAAGCTGTGCTCTGTCCCACCGGGCAAAGTTCTTCATACCTTTGCTGTCCTTTTGTTGTTGTTGTTGTTTTTTTTTTTCTTTTTGTTTTTTTTTCTCACAATGAATATCAGGTACCGCATTTAAACACGTTTCTTTTTTTTTTTTCTGTTTAAAATTATCTCAACAAGAATAAGACATTTTGATGTTTACAGTGCTAAATCTGGTATACATAGTGGTTGTTTGGTGAGAATATTTCTATAATCAGAAGTCTCTGATTTCAAAACAGAACAAAACAAATACTCAAGGACACTGCTTGCTCCGGGACTGCACCCACGAGCCTGGTACTTCTAGAGAAGTGCAGATATGCATAATGTAAACATTTCCTCTGCTCTTACAATAATTTGTTGACCCAACGTTCCTTGATGAAAACAACAAAACAAAAACCCAAACACCTAAATTAGCTCACTGATTCCTTAAAGACACCACTATTCCTCTGTTTCCGAGTCCAGAAGGCTTGTGCTACAGAGGAACTGACCTGTAACTGCCATGTTAAGGCGTAGCGTAGTTGAACATTTACTCTGTAGTGTCCAGGTCACAATGCACAGCATTGTTTTTAACGACTTCTGTTTTTCTCCTCTTTTGTTTTTCTTTTTTCTTTGTTCCTTTTTTTCCTATTTTTATACAAAAACACAATAACACTCACCAGCAACTATTAATTAAAGTTGCTTTTCATTTCCGTCGACTGGAGAGTCTCCACCAAAACAAAGTCTCTTTGGCAGAAAGTACACCTGGTATTGTTACCTCTTCCCAATTTCACTTTGCCGAAGAAAGTGGATGTTATTAGTGCTGTCTGCTAGTTCTGGGTACTGCTCGATGGAAAGCACATAGTACCCATCATATCCCAAAACTTTGCCGCTACTCAGAAGCTGCCTCTTCTCCCCTTCTGTCCAGGGGCGAACCCCTTCCTCACCGTCCCTCACTCGCTGCTGCTCTTTGGCCCATGCGCCTGCCAGGGCACGCTGACGTGCGAGCTCGATAACTCGCGCTTTCTCCTCATCCACTGTGGATCCGTAGCGGATGTGGAAAGCCAGAGCGCCAGCACGGATCTCCACATCTGCAAATCGCCGAGTTCGACTGTCCATGACTGTGGTGGACTGGGAAACGGTCACATTGACGCCATTCTCGAGAGTCTTGTGTCCACTAGTGAGGTGTAACGCAGCAAGGTCAGCATCCGGAAGGCCTGGCTTGACAAAGTAGTGGGTGTCTCGCCCTTCTATGGTAAAGTGCAGGTCTTCTAGATAGAAAGCATTGTTGAGGATTGATGCAACCTTGATACAGTCCTCACTGGCCACGTTGAGTGTGTGAGTGTGGACACTGCCCTTGTAGATGGCAAACATAACAGCCCTTCCGATGGGAGACATTGCAGCTGAGAACCACAGCCAAGACTTTTCACCTCTCCGACCTCTATTGAGATGGACCTCTGGCAGCCGCTCGAATGACAAGAGAGAGTGTGCTTGTCTGGTTACTTCCTGCTGGACCCCAGAGATAGACTGTAGGAAAAGTGCAGTGAAACGTTAATGCCTGAACATGGCAGAACCTGACTCTCCAGGCCATTTAGAACCAGCTACTGCTCTGCTTCAGAGAGTTTTTCATCCCCATCCAAGATAATGGTGTTTTCAAGCTGTGTTCTCAAGCCAAAAGTAGATAAATCCCCCATGACAATTTTACTGCAACACTTTTTTTGTGTTAAGGCCTTAGACCAAAGGAGCCAAGCATCAAAAAGTAGTTTTAACAGTAGCGACACCAGAATATTATGTAGAAAATTAGACAGCGTTAAAATATGTTCAGCTCGTAACTAAACTCAGACAGCGCAAAGAAAACTTTTCCTTATTTTCTGTTTATTATTATGCAAATATGGCCCAATTAAAACAGATCTTCTATGAAATGCAATGCAGTCCAATTAGGAAATGGCAGCTTCAAAATACAGAGGTAAAAGGAAAACAATGCGAGGAAAAAAAACGAACACCTTTTTTGTAATCTGGTCATCTGTAGAAGCAAAGGTTTTGTCTCAGTCGCTCTTCAGTTTATTTTGGGTTCAGTTTTTGTCTGAGAGACATTAATTTTACCCACCGGCAGATCATCCCACAGCTGACTCTTCCTCAGTTCATACGATGGCATGCTCAAGTCAAACTTTGGGACTGGGAAACCAGGAATGGTGTTGTGAAGATGGAAACCAAAAGTTACTAGCCAGGTGTTAACATCTGAAAAAAGGAAATGAATCGAGGTCAAAATCTAAAGTTCTAACTATAGTTAAACATTTGAAAATGAACTAGCTGCAAGAGTATGGCTGGTATAGTTTAAATGTGCTGACACAGTGACAGCGTGTGTGTGTGTCATGATGCCAAAATGTGGATATTTGTATATTTGTAACTCCCTGTGAGACTTATCATCAGCTGCGCCTTGAGGCAACTGTTGTGATTCGGCACTATATAAATAAAACTGAATTGAAAATCGAATTGAATTGAATCTGGTTAAGAAATGTGATATTTTCCACAATTAATATGGTGAGATAGCATATTGGTGTCATGGCAGCTGTGATTCCATCTTCAGCGAGAGTGAATTTCTTGAGCACTCACTTTAGTACATGTTTAACGCTTGTTAATTCGATGCTTTTGAAAACTGCATATTGAATAAATTAATAGCTTATATGAATATACATGCAATATTCAGATGTTAATAAAGCTAAATTGGATCATCAGATCAATGACAATCATCACAGCTGTTTAGCAGATTATGGATTAGACTTAAAATTAACCGGCAATTCAATGTTTTCAGGAAAAGCTGCCAAGTATTTGCTTTTTCTTGCTGCTTCTTGGTAAATAGAAAAAAAAAAATGCTTGGCAGAAAAATCAATCGTGAAAATAATAGCAATTGTTGCAATAGCACGAGCAGCTTCAGGTGCGCATCTTACCTGCGACGTATTCTTTAACTTCATGGACTTTGCTGATGGGGTTGTTATTTCTGAACATGTACAGATTAAAAGGGACTGGCTCTTTGCCAATTTTTTTCCAAGCGGAAACATCTGGAATGGTCCACCTTCCAGACATTATATCATAATCCTTCTCCCCGAAGTGCAACAGTTTAGTCAGAGGATCATAAAGGCCCCCGTGAAAGCCGAGCACAAGCTGGAAATCTGGGTTAGAGTCCAAGTAGACCTCACCGTATGCTGTGTATAGAAGCTGTTTGACCAGGAGGCCGTTGCTTGTGAAGACAGCCAGAGGTGTGCCGGTGTTATCACAAGCAATATAGAACTCCTCTCCACTGCTGATCTCCATAGCGAACACGTGGCCTTGTAGGTCGTAGTAGAGTGAGGTGATCTCTGAACTCGAGTGGTTGTATACGTGTGTTATCCGAGCCGGATAGCTCAGATCTGCATAAAAGTACTGCAGGTGCTGGCCCAGGCTGCTCTTTGTGGATACTCTTCGGCCAAGTCCATCATAACGATACTGAATTGTCCAGCCGCTGCTCTTGCTATAAACCCGCACCAAAAGGCCTTTAGAGTTGTACTCAAAGATTTCTGCTCCCCTCTGACGAAGAAAACCATCTTCATCCATCCTATACTGGATGTCTCCGAGCCGGGTGATGCGGTCTCGCAGGTCGTAACGCAGAGGTAAAAGTCTGGCACTGTTTCCTGCATTCAGCAGGTGCAGATTCCCATTAAGGTCATAAGTGTAGCGCCACATCACTTTGTCGTTTAAGAATACAGTCTGGAGCTGGCCATCCACATCGTACTCATAGCTGTACTTGGTGGTGTTAGCAAAAGGACCAATCTTGATCTCTCGCTTGGTGACTCTGCCCACATCGTCATATTGGAAAGTAATCCAGTACATGAGTGACCGAAATATCTCATACTGGATTTCCTTGATGCGTCCATGTGCATCGAAGTGTTTGGTGTATGTCATGACTGCAGTGGATATGATCTGATTTATATCATAGTAGATCACCCCGAACTTTCCAAACTGCTCAACCTTTCCTGAGATGTCATCAAACTGGTATAAGTCGATGGGAAGTGGCGTTTCGTTTATGACGCCTTGTACACTGGTGACACGCAGGCTGCTGTCATAAGTATAATCAAAGCGTGCATTGACCATGCCATCCTCACTGAAGCGGAAAATCTGCCGGTCGACCAGGGGACCCACTTGTCGGTAGCGAATGGAGCAGATGAAACCTTCATTTTGCAGGTTGACAGTCTTCAGCACACCTGCTGTTTCATCATAGGTGAAGCTGACCCTTGTGCTGTCATACAGGATCTCTGACAGTTTATTCTGCCTGCGGTACCTGTACAGGACTCTCCGGCCTGTGCCAAAGTGACCTATTCTCAGCAGGAGGCCATCTTCACTGTAGTCCACCGCTACTGAGGCATTGCTCTCTGGCGGGTGATAAAGGTTCCTGTAGTAACCCACTGAACGAATGGTCTGCATGGTGTAGCGGGCCACACTTGGCATGGTGACAGCAGAAAGACGGTCGAGAGAGTCAAAGTCGAATATATACTGTCGCTGGCTGTGAAGCAGGAGAACCATGGACTAAAAGGAAAAGAGAAAATAGGGAATATTTCCTTAAGTTGGATAATATTTCGGAAATGCAAGACATCCTGAGTGCAAGCAGGGTGTAGTAAGATATATGAAATATAGACTGAGTAGTATTACTGTTTTTAGTTGTACTGCCTATTGTCTAACTATTGAAAAAGGTAATAAAAAATACTGCATAGACCTCTGTGACAATCTTTATGTTTACAGTTTAAAATACGTAAATTAATAAAAATATACTCCTTAACTAGTGCAAATAGAAGTAATATTTATTTTTAACTCCTCTTAGCCAGAAAGTCTTATTTTAGCTAATTTACAGTAGATGCAGTTAGGAGTTTGGCCTGCCTTCCAAGCATTTACCACTCTTTTCTGTTAAATTGTCAAGCCCAGTCATCCGTTGCTACACTGAGGTTTCCTGTGCTCCCTGAGCCTCCTGTGTTACTTGTGTCAGAGTGTTGACATGGCCGCTCCAGGTCACGCAACACAAGGATGCAGCCGGCGACTGCTAAGAAAAATCTCTGCATATGTTTGTAGCAGAGCGTCCCTCTGCAATTTTAAAAACACTGCAAAACAACTAAAGAATATTTATGTGGAAAAAAGGGAGAGAACGCTATAGCACCGAGTTGCTCTTTCCTGTTTGACATGCACCACTTGAAAGGTTAGATTTTTAATTCCTGCAGTAGATTTTTCATAATATACATATGCAAAATTACACTCGTTGAGATGGAGTTTGGTCATAATGTACTGGTATTGATCAATGAAGCACATTCTTAGAATTTAAACACCACAGCAACCTGAGTGTTCAGGTTTGCTTTAACCGAACATATTAATAAACCATTAGAACGCAGCGTATGCATTATTTAGATGTTGCCAATTAATATGTGATAAATACACTCTTACAAGAATTCAACTTGTTTTTGGTAACACAGCTGTAATTTTAGCAAGTGGAGACGGAGTCAGATGGTGAGGTGTAGAGTTTTAGAAGGTTTCAGGTATTAGAGGTATGTAATTGCTGTCTGTTATTTAGCAAGATCACACAAATTCTATTAAGCTGAATTCCTTAACCCTTTAAGACCTACCATAGAACCAAGTCCGCCAGAGCTTATATTATATTTTTACATGCTGAGGAGCCATTTTTGGGAGCATTTCAAGTTGATATACATCAATACAACCATTATAGCCCAAATT